ATTTACTCCTTTAGTATAAATAACTCATTTTGCAATAAGCTATAGATTGGTCCAATGGTGGTTGAGTTCTTTCTTATAGATCAATTGAACAATTATTGGAATAATGCTCCAAAAGAATATCTGCATTTTTCTTTTCAAAAACATCCTAAAAATCTTAATATTGGTTAGAAATACCACTTGGCATCTTTCTACTATCAGAACTAAATGTGGCATATATAACAAAAGATGACCTTTCTTTTTCCACATGCATAAAAGCTCTTGTACCTACTAGTAAGGATTTGAATGTATTAGACTTATCTATTTCTACTTCACTATTAAAATTTTGGATTAAATTACAAAAAAGTTAAGGTTATAAGAAATTCAATTTATTTAAGGATTATATTTTTTTAACCACAATAATCCTAAAATAATTAGATTAAAAAGAGATCTTATAACATTAAATATTATTACATTATTATTATCTTTAATTACTACATCTATAAAAATAGTCTCATAAATAATGTTTCTAAAAGATAACAAATGACCATCTATGTCTTCCACATGTATTGGTTTAGTTTTCTTGTCTAAAGATATTTCTTGTTTCTTGATAAAGTCTTAATCAATAAAAATAAGTTGAGGCTCTTAAATCTAATAATGCAAAAACTTTGTGATTTTTAGGTTCTAAACAAATATCTATTGTAAAACAAGGTGAAGGATCTAAAGAGAGAATAGGACCTTTACTAAGTATTATACATGATTTCAGTTACATAGTTCCTATTGTAGGTAAAAAAACTCATTTTTGACATATTATCTTCTTTGGCAATCATACTCATCATTTTGTGATTGTATTGATTCTTTGAATAATATTGAAGAGTGTATTTAACTTCTCTTTAATATAAGCATAAACCTTCTTAATAATATCAAGTTTTTTTTTGCTCAACGAGGGATTTAAAATGTACCATTTCAATTTGTATTGGTTCTAACTTTGATGAATAAGTTTCAAAAAACATGAAAGCTGTTGTCATTACTTCATTTATTCCTCTCCAACCAAATCTTTGTTCTTGATACCTTTCAAATAATTGATTGTTACTTGCAATGAGTGAAGTAATAAATTATTCTAAAGATTTAGCTTTCAACATTATCAATAACAAATCTTTAAGATTATCCTTCAACCTATATCAAAATTCATTGATGAGGGCTTTGACATTCTAATCCATGTTGCAAGCAAGTTTTTGGAATTCAACAGTATATATGATAGCTGATTGTGATTCTTATTGTAAAAATAAGAGCTTGATCTTTGTTACTTTTTTTAATTATTATTTCCAAATATAGCCATAAATACTTCTCTAAATCAATTCAAATCATAAAGGAGTAGTGAGTTTTTTCTCATTAATGGTACAAACCAAAAAAGAGCATTTTTAGATAGAAGTATGCTTATGAATCCAACTTCAATAAATCCATTAAGATATTGAAAGAGATGAAACTTTAAATAGAGTTTGATTTATTCCAAAAATTTTCAAAATTTTGATTTTGTTCCATTAAACTTATTGGGCATATTAATTTGTGTCCTTGTCATACTTATAGAAGTAAATTTTTTTGAATTGGGTCCTGAGCTTGATGTATTTACTTCCTTCAACTATACAACTTCTTGCTGTAGATTTTTAACTTCTTCCATATGTGTAGGATTAATATTTTCATAATTGGTGCTAATAATGCATGAAATTTTCACTTTAAAAGTGTTGACAAGTTTGTGAAGATTTGCAATAGTTGCAAATCTATTCTTACTTCTATCAAGTATAGCATCCATAATTTTTTCTTCTATTCCAAATAACTTAATAAATCTATAAATCAAATTAAAAAATGATAATGTATAACTTCTAATATTGAATGAAAATTTCTACAAAGAAAGATAATCCATTGTCTTTAAGGAAAAAAAATCGTATTAGAAATTTAAATAGTTTATTTAAAGGTGGATAATCCATAACCTTCAAAATACAACAATAGAAGTCGGATAATCTACTCACTTTTAAAATAAAATAAGAATAATAAATTATGACTCTTGTCAAACTGTCACGGACATGAATCTCAAAGAACTAAAATATCAATACACTCTTATGCCACTTAAAATGACTAAAAAATCATTCAAAGATGATATAGTATTAAATTAGAATGGCTATTGCCAAAGATAAGAAGACTAAAAAATCTTAAGACAAGACTAAAGACTAGAAAGTCATTGACAAGAGTGAAGAAGGCTTCACTCTTACCTCCATATATACTCTTAACTAGGAGCTATATGATGGTGTCCTATAAGACCTCCAAAATATATTGACTATGCAAGACACATATCTTAACTTACAAGGCAAGTTTTTTATATGTGCACCATATAATTAACTTATTTCACAAGCTATCAATACATGGTTAACTTATTGACCAAGTTTCTAATCTACTAATCAACTTCAAATACATGTAAAGTCAAAGCAACATCTATGTAGCTTCAAGAAAGCTTTTTTAGAAAATATTATAAAATAAAACTACTTTTAACTACTTCTATTTAATCATATAAATAAATATTAGAGTAAATATGTATATCTATGAGAGTATATCCATGATAGCCTATAACCAATAATTCTTAATAATAAGTCTTGACACCAATTTTTTTCAAGATACTAAGTTTGTAAGGTCATCAAAAAATTAGATAATCATATTCCAATTAGATGTAAATAAGTTTGTCTCTATAGCCTTGAAGGTTTTTAAAGCTAAAACCAATCTTTGATTTTCTAAGATCTTTGGTCAAAGTAGCAAAAACACATTGAATTATAGCTCTTTAGTTGTATGTCATTTTAAGCAAAAAAATAAATTAGATTTCTCAACCTCAATAAATTTAGGTTCCTCTACCCCCTAACCATTATCATCTAATTCCATAGTAAATAAATGGTCATCATGGTATTTTTGAACAACAAGCCATATGCCAAAAATCCATACTAAAGTATTGAGATCCATTGCCTAGTCTAGAAAGAAACAACATTGACCTTTAGTGATATCATAAGCTATTGTGGAGTATGACAAAAAGTCCATGGAATACTCTCTCTTATTTGTAATAGATTCTTTATAAGTTTAAGGATTAACATCTCTAATCATGCAAAGTCCATGTGCCAAAAATGCATGTTTATATGAATACAATGTATTGTGAAATAAGACATTTCTTTATTTAAAGTCTTCTTACTAAGATTGATTGACTAATCTTTTACATCTTGATGTTATTTCAAATATAAAAGATTTTTAAGTATACTAAAAATAAAGCCATGAAAATAATATTATTAATTAAAAATAACAATGTATGTATATATATATATATATATATATTGTTATATATAAAATTATATATAATTTCTTTTTTAATCTAGAAGTTTATAAACACCTAATTAAATATAAATTTCTTTTTTAGGATTTTTTTTTTGTTTGTTTTTTATTTAATTTTTTTACGTTTATTTTATAAGAATTTTACCAATCTACCTTTGAGTTCCAATTTTACATTTAAACTTTGTAAAAAAATTCAGATTTCGTTGACAGACTCTCGACAATACACATATCCATGCTTTTATTTCAGTGAAATGAAAACCAAAACTTTGACACATTACAATATATATATAAAGAACATCATTAAAAAGCCATTAATTCATTCTGACGAAGAAATGCTATTTAATTTTTGAATAAAACAGTCATTGTTAAATATGCACCGTTGAATAATTATAATGATAAATTTACATGTGGTTTGAATAAAGTATGCTGTAAATAAATACTGTCATGAGCAAGAAAAGTCGACACATGTGTCAGAACAGCCAATATCAACATAATTTAAAAGGGCACGTTGCAGAATATTTATATGCCGGAAGCCCAAGCATTTGGGTAAGAATAATTATGGTCAAGTTGATTTTATTTAATAAACAGATTTTTTATAAAATATTTTTAGGGTACAGTAAATAAAATTAAAATACATTTATTTATTTATATATATACTCAGTAAAAATATAATTTGAATGAACCACCTCTTTTGTTTGTATTTCCCTGATGCTAAAAGTAATATGATAAATTATATTGTGAAATTAAAATTCAAGATACAGATGAAAAATTTAGTGATAATTGTATTTAGTAAATATTTCAAACTGTAATGCAAGGTACGCACAGTAATGTATAATATAATAGTAAAAATCATAACAACTAACTAGTAACTTCTATGGTATACTATAAGGACAACATTTACTTTGGACAGTACATTGTTTTTTTGGTGTAAAATCAGAATAATCTAATTATCGTAAATAAATAGATTAGTTTTTTTGATATCAGAACTTAAAAATAAAAATATATTTTAAAAAAATTCTAAATGGTGAAACTGTTGCTAATAATACCCAATAAATATAAACATTGCATCCACATAATTTTCTTCTCTATCTCTTTTTAATAAAGCTTCTGCAATCTCAAGTGACTAAGTTTGGTTATAATTCCATAACATTAAAATAATGATATATGAACTGTGATGACTTCATTAATAATTTTCGTAAGTTGAGGCACCTAAATTTCAACAAATACTTTACATGAGTTAATATTATTTTCACATTTTAAATTCTCTTATATCAAAACATTCATCAGTCCTTTTCTTCTTCCCTAGAACACCCACTTTCTTTGGCTTGCTCTTCACACACAAAAAGGGTTCCATATAAGAATAAATAAATGATCAAAACACATGCTACCTGTAGAAACAATTAATGCATTATTTATATTTAGTAAATATAAATACGGGCCATGGTAAAAATCTTACTTGATTTTTTATATTTTGAGGAAATTCGAATTTAAATATTTCGTTGAGTGGGATTTCCGAGGCAAGGTTAGTTACAGGAAGTAAGCTTCACTTGGGAACGTGAGAACGTCCCTTTGAACAAAGCGCGGGCGAACCAGGCCCTTCGCGGCAAAGCTTCACACTATTCCCGCCAAATCCGACGAAAGTGCCGGGAGATCAAGTGAGGCCAATGTGCAAATCTGATCGTGACCAACCCACCCAGAGTGCCGCGATTTGAAAATTTTCGGCCGACAGCGTCGTTGGATCTCACCTCCACATTTTTATCCCGGCACCCCACAATCACAGATTGCGTGCCCGCGCTCGCATGCGAGTTGGGTTCGCACGAAGTGTGGCACATTCCTTGTTGTTGTTGTTGTTGTTTGTTTTTTTCCGTGTTGAGCCTCGTGATTTGGCTTCCATTAGCGATTCGAACCCTAGGATCACGTAGTAATGCTTCACCGAATGTGCGCTGAATAGGTGGTTGCTGTATGGGACTCTAGAGCTTTGTTTCCATGTTTCTGCCGTCGGTTTCAGTAAGTTCTCTCTCTCATTCTCTTGTGTTTGGTGAAGTAGTTTTTGATGTTCGTGATTATATGAAGTTGTAATTAGAGGTGGGTTGTTTTGCTCGTGGAATCTGCTTTGTCTCATGCAAGTGCTAGTGCACTGCACACTGTTTGATTGAGTATGGAACTGTCATGGTGTTTTCCTGGTTCGATTAGGTTCAACATTCGAGGGTCATGTTTGGGCTTTTCCGTGAGTCATTGGGGCTTGTATTGGGCTCTTGCCGGTATTGGACAATATGGCAGCTCAAATTTAGCCTCTTTTTTTTAGGAATTGCTCTGAAATTGGCATGGATGCGAAGAAGAGGGTGATTTGTCGTATGTTTCATGTTCGCCTGTTGTATCCATGTGGTTACGTATTGCTTACTCGGTCGTTGTTTACTGATGGGGTGAGTGGTATTTAAGTATTTCTGGTTATGTGTGGGATGTTTGAATGCAGTGAGCTTCATTAACTAGTGGCTTATGGGAGGTCATATAAAATGGAAAGATAATACGAGGTATGTTGGCAATGTTATCGATGGATGACTGTTTTGGGTTCACCTGAGATGTTGCGAGAGTCACTCCCGAACTCCACAACTACATCACGATGGAGACTGTGACCAAGAGGCCAACATTTGTGGATAGCAGCATCCCTATCGAGATTGTGGATGACGACGAATTGGCTGCTATCGAGACAGCCTTTCTCCAAGTTTCTTCCGTGCAGTCCGCTCTGTCCCATCCTAAAACTTATGTTCCTTTGACTTGTGACCCACCATTGCGACGAGTGCGCTCGTTAGCGGAGTCTGCCAATTATTGGTTAACGCAATGTCTTAACGTACAAGACCGCGCAAAAATCCTAGAAGGAGGAACGAATTCCGAGACTCACATCGGAGTGCATTCCACCTCCTCTACCTCTCGTTCCACTGAAATTTCATTACACCCATCTGTTGAGTGCTGTTATTCACGGGACAAAGCATTGGATTCCAAGGATGAGACAGAAGCTATTCAAGTTGAACCACCTAGAGGGGATACTCATGAGGTAGGCAACACAGTAGCTCCGGATATTGAAGACCTACCATGTTGCAAAGATGGAGATAAAAGCCAGGCAGAAGAGGCACCTCCTGAGCCCAAGCCGAGATGCCTATCTGTCACGGATTTCACTGCATTTGTAAGAAGTCTTGTCCCTTTTTTTTTTTTTTTTTTTTTTTTTTTTTGATACTTGATGTCCCTCTTTAGCGGTAATGTGGCACCATACACGTCAAGCTACTTTGTATGTGGTATTTGATGTCATCATGTTAGTCTTATCTATCATGGAAGAAATTTGACCAATGTAGCGTTTTTAGAGAGGCATATTAAGGATAAGGTGCTATTGGACTGGACAGGAATGGTGTGAAAAACAAGTGGAATTTGCGAAGAGGCTGGGGAAGCCTAAACAGACGGAAGCCATGAAAGCAGGGAGTGCTCGGCACGCCGAACTTGAAGTAGAGGTAAGAATGTTTAGTATGATCACACAGAAGTGGGTTTTCGTTTAATGATCACGTTAGTTCGACACAAACTCTGCAGATTATAATCCAAGTATTTCCATCAATCTCATTTTGAGTGTTTATACCTTCTTTGTATAATGAAAACGCTTAGTAGAGATTCAGAACGCATTTAGTCTGCGTCTCCTTTTACTTTGCCAGGTCCATCTATTTGTTTTTCTTTCAATTTTTTGGTCGTTGATTTTAATTCATATTTCATCACTCGTGAGACAGGTATTGAAAAAGGTAGAAGTAGAAATTACGTCCAAGGAGGACTCTTGGGCAATGCGGCTAATCAATTTTATTACTGGTGCACGACAAATGTTAGCCGAAGGAATGACGCGAGAGCTGCCTGTGTAAGTGGATCAACACATGTTGAAATTAATCTCGCAATAGGCCCTGGATTACACTTTGTACGCTGGATATTTAAATTTTCAAACAGCAACGAGACTGAAAAGTATTGATGCGTTTTTCTGGAATTATACTACAGCAAATACAACCTGGATGTGAGATCTGATGTTGGATACTCTGTTGACACTACGATCAATCACGGATATGCAGAGTTGGTTTGATTGGAGGGGCATGGGTAGTTGGTATTATTGATGAACTGAAGCTATGCGATCGAGACGGTATGCACCGTCCCCAATTAATAGACACAAAAACTCGCAACAAGCCTACACCACCATCATCACCTCAAAAACAGAATGGAAGGTACTGAAAGAAGTTCATGCTTTGTAGTGCTTTTATTTGTATCTAACTTCACATTGTTGACGAATAGGCGTCAGAACGATTCTTTTCTAGATTCATTCTGATATTCCACAGAAGGGTTTGGATATCCGCAGGATGCAGCTCATGGTGTATAAATGCATGTGGGACAATATAGTAACATCGGGGATTCCTTTCAACGATTTCTTTGAGCACTTTAGGTTGCGTCCTCAACACCTTCTTTCGGAGGATATCAGGGTTCATGCAGCAGAAGTTTTTCCAGATGCAAAGGTATTGTTTGCAGTCACTTCAGGTTCAGTTATCTTCTTCTTAATGTTTCATAACTGCCCACTCTGGTGCTGCCTATTATTTCCCTTCATCTCAGACTTCCTGTTGATAATATGATGCAGGTCGAAAATCTGCAAGATGTTGCTCGGATGTACTCCAAAGAGTGTATTACGTTTCCAGAGTCTCACAGCTTGCTTCTCTTGAGGTGCGTGTGTGCTTTCTTTCTGTTATCTCACAACCAATTCGTCAAGGAACTGGTGTTCAATTTTGGTCGGACAAAGGCGATTCAGTGAACTTGTGTACTTTGGGTTGATGTACAAGTCGGGTTGTGCAAAATTTTGTCCATAAACAAGAGTAATCGTGGTTTGAAGAGGATACCATGACTGCGCATGGCCAACTTCTTTGGCAAATTGGCAGTATTACTGATGCTGAGCCTTGGTCTTAACTCGTCACCATGCAAACGATGTAAGAGTTCTCGTCTTCAAAATCTGCTCTAATTGCATGTTCTACTTTTGTTGTGTGACAGATATGAATGGCAAGCAGATCGATCATTGTTGGGGCAGGATGAGTTTGACATCGAGCGTGAGTGGTTGGATCTCCGAATAAACTGGCACCTCGAGTTCTGGCATGGGCTTAGGGAGCCGGCCTATGTACCTGAAGATGAAACTTGGAAATGTCGCTATTGCACCTTCGCTGAGTTATGCCCAGCAGTTCAAGCACTCAGCCTGGGCAATGAACCGAAGGCTATGGAACAGAACACACAAAATCAGAACTCTCAGCTAAATGGTGGCAGTGGGCACAGCCAAAAGCCTTGATCCAATATTTCTAATAGACAAGTTAAAAAATAGAGTTTCAAAAGTTCAAATTGAACATCAAATTATGACAACATACAGCTTGGTAATTGGGTATTTACATCTATTATTGGCTCTCCCTGTGAAGATGGGGACTATCCATTATTTTCTCACTTGAAGTTGAATCCAACTTGTATTTGTTATTATTGGTATTTGTACACAATTTATTTTAAATCTATATGGTCTTCAATTGTAATAATTGAAGCCTTGTTCTCAGTAGTGTTTTAAAAGTTGTTCAATTAGTTAATTAATTGATTAATGATGTTTTCAATGATACGAATTTAAATCACAACCTTATTATGTTTATATTTATGAAAATAGGTAGTGCAAGTTTTAATGAATTTTTGTTAAATAGTTTATTACAGGATAGGCAATATAATTTTATTTTGAATCTTACAAATGTTAAATTTAAGATTTTTTATATTTTATTTAATTATATAGATATTGAGATCAGTGATTTTATTGTTCATTATTTTGAATTTTTATATTTCATTTAAATATTAGTTATAATTATTCATATGAATCTATTAGTAATGTTGTGATGATGTCAATTTTGAAATTAATTGTTTTCCAATAATTTTTTTGTATATTAAAAGATAGAGTCCTGTTAGCAAAAGCATAATTTATTTTTATTTTTATAGTACAACAATAGAATATCAATTATGAAATAGCAATGCATTTAGCCAACAACAAAAAATATAATATAAGAAGACAATTGGAAAGATTGAAGATGTCTTCAATATTATTTTTACTCATGTTACTTGCAAGGTTAAAAAAATTATAGTTTTATGAAAAGATTCTTAACTAATTTTTTATGAAATTTATTAAAAAGATTATAAAAAATTCCTATATTACTTAAAGAAATAGAAACAAATAAAAGTAAGTAGAATATGTTATGTAGATAATATCTTCTATAAGAAAATTTAAAGAAGTTTTCCAAATGCAAATTAGATCATCAGATTTTTATAGATACATTGTGTAACCATTGAAATTTTTCTCTCAAGTTATTTTTATTTTTAAGAAATTATGTTAGAAGCAACTCAAAACTTTATGCTTAGATCACAAGTTTTGTAGCTTCTACAAAACCTTCTTAGTAATATATATATATATATATATATATATATATAGAGAGAGAGAGAGAGAGAGAGAGAGAGAGAGAGAGAGACAAGAACAAGATGATTTACTAATCTAAAAAATGAGATTCTTGAATAATTTAGAGGTTGAAAATTAGACATTGATAGAGAAGAATAATATAATAATCTAACAAATAGATTTTATTGACTTTAAACAAAGTTTTTTTATTTTTTTTATTTTTATAATTTTAATCTTGTTAGCATCTTCAATCTTATAACTAAATGAACACATTATTGTATTACATATTGTCTTGTTGGGAAATACACAGGGCATATGGATGTGGAAGGTGGGATTGTGTTTTACAAGTATAAAAAAATCCTAATATATTTCACCCTTATAAGAAGAATGCAATTTGAATTTTAATTCAAAAGTGCTTAAATCCAATACAAAGTGCTCAAAAACATTCTTCTTTGTAATCTCAACCATATATAAATTCCAATTGCTTTGTTACTTTCATAATTAGGCAATTTTGATTTTTCTTTGCACACCTTAATCTTAATCAATAAGCTTTAGTAAGTTGTAGCTCCTAATCAACCGTCTACTTGGAGCAAAATTTTATATACAAATGCCACTATAAGTCTTCTATGTGCTCAAAAGAATTCATCTCAATCCAACTTACAGATTGTGAGAAAACACCCAAAAACTACACTGATGTTACTCGGCTACCAACTTGAAAGTTGATGCATATGTTCTAGTAGTGATTTCTCCTTCTACAACTATTAACTTCAACTCAAAATTGATATATAACTCGATCTTCAAGTCTTCTAATACCATGCCAAATTTTACTTTGATCCAAAAAGTAGAACTTCAGATATCATAGAAATTCTATCTAATCCAAAATTGCCAATTTTTGATACCTTCTTGTATCAAAATCTAGATATCTTTCAATTGCACCGTTAGATTTTCACAAATTTTACAAACGCTTAGTACATCCAATGAACCAAGTATTATCAAATTTTGAACCATAGATGTGATACTAGTTTTACAAACTAGCCAAGAGTACTAGCTCTAATTGTATTGTATAAATTTTAAGTTGCCAATACAAACCTTGATTTTGAATAAAAATTTCTAAATCTAAAAAAATCTTATAAAAACAAGTCTTATCTTTCTAAAACAAGCTCTAAGCTAACTCCTGAATTCTAATTGCCAATCTTCAAATGAAACCTTCTTTTGCTCTAGGTCATTGTTTTAGTGGCTAGATGTCTGATTTTGATCCTATCTCACAAATGGTGGATCCTTGGATATCAATCTAATGTATCCTAGCGATTTTTTAATCCAAACCTACCTTCAACTTAATTCTAGTATCAATTATACTAATTATTTATCTCTTCTAATCTAATTTTTATTAATTTATGGTCTTTCTAATGTTGTAAAAGAATCTCTATAATCTATAAGGTAAAATTATTAACCAATCTTTAGCCTACTAACTATTAAGACAAGAAAATAAACTAAGAAGCTTTTATAAAATCCATGTTTAAATATTTTGAATTATAATTGAATCAAGATAATTAAATATTAATTAAAAATTTATTTTTGATTATATTTTCACCATATTGTTGTATTACATCATGACACTGTCTTATTGTCACAAAAAGTGTGATTCAAATGAAGCATTTTTTAAGTCAAAGAATATTTTTTAAATTCAAATATAATATAAAATAAGTTGAAAGAAATAAAATAAAATATATATTATAAATAAAAAGAAAGAAATAAAATAGATTGTCATAGATCCAAATCAATATACTTCACTGATTATCTTTGGGATTTGTTTATTATTATTGCAAATGTAAGATAGATTAAAAATTTCTTTCTTTTTAGAATGAATGGAAGTTCTTTTGTTGTAGAAGTTAATATAATCCATCGAATAAACACCAAGTTTTTAACAACTTTTCTACCATGAATTCTTGCTTCAAGAACTTGATCCATTAGTCATGTAATTACTAATCAAGTTCTATTGCAAAGTCTTTGGCAAAGAACAATATTTCTTTGTAGAATCACCAAAGTCTCAATCTTGAGACAAAGCCTTGATGTAGGCATTCTATATAGATTAAGTGACTTGATAAATTTAACTAGATAAAAATTATTATTATTATTGACACCATCTTTTATAAGAATTTCATTGGTGCTTAGATATTCTTGTTCTTTCTTAAGAAATATGGCCATAATCTTTTCATTAATATCTTTTACATCATCATTCCATTTGGATAAAATGATTCTATTTCTTAGAACGGCATCATTTGCTATAGTATCTTTTGTTAGCCTTGAATAAATAACATCAACTAAAGACATTAATTATTAATCAACAATCATGTGATCAAAAAGTATAACTACATTATTGGATAATAAGTTTGTACTATTTTTAATTTGATAAGTAAAAAATAGAAAAATTAATCAATAATAATACAACCATAAAGAATTCAAATGTACCATAATTAATATATATAATAAATGTATGTATTCTATATCTAAAGAAGCCAACTAAGAAACTCAATATCTACTTGAAATGCTCTTGAATTCAACCTTATGTTTTTTTTAATGTATGGATTTTTATTTGAGTCCAAAAAGTTAAATATCAAAAAGATGCTACTATAATTTTTTTTCAAATTCTTTTTATAATTACTAGCAATATTTGACAAAAATCTCCACCAAAAGCTATTGTAGCTCCTCCAAATGGACAATCAATATTTCAAATATCTTGAAAAGAACAATCAATTGCCTCAAAATAATAATGATATTGCATTAGAAGTTTATGCCAAATAATAAGCAAAATTTGGAGAATAAATTCAATATGGTTGAAATTCTTAGTAATTGAACAAAAAGAATCTTTGTTACAATCTAATGGAATTATAAATGTAGAATGGGTAATTCTTCCTTCTTCAGGTGGTAATGCAATAATTCCTAATAATCCAACTCATATGACAATCTTTTGCATCAATCAAACTTTAATTGCCAAAGTATTGTACACAAATATCTTACTAGTTCCTATATGTTCATTTAGAAAAAAAACATGTGGCTACGTTCTTCTATTATAGAGGCCACAATATCATCATATACCTTTCTTTGTTGAAGATTCAATTGTAGAACATATTGCTCCAAATTTTCTTCTAATTATTAAATATCTCATGTCTTCTCATCAATAATAAATTAATTTCCATTAATTTTTGTATTTCAATTGTTTTTTTGATAATGTCATTTGAAGAAACTATGCAAGCATTTTGTCAGAGTCTTGCAAAATCTAATCCAGTAAGAAAAGTCAAAAATCCTTAATTTGTTCTTCTATTGGATTGCAAATTCCATGTATTCTTTCCAAATGGGCGTTGAGATCATTTAAGATGTTTTTTCAAAACCTTTTTCATAGATTTAATACATTTAATTAATTTTTGTGGAGTAGCAAAATAACAAAGAATGCCCTCAATTGAGATCTAGTTTGTATTTTTGATGTCTCTTTCAAACATCATTGTTACTTTCCATCAACTTCAAACAATTATAAAGTTGTACATGCACTTTTAAATATTGGATGGAAAATTTTCTTAATAGTCTTTAAGTGCTCAAATAATTGTGGAGCTTTAATGTGGATTAATAGAAGCCTCAAATAATAGAATCTTTCTTTTATTGCCGGATTTACAAAATATAATCTTTAAATATCAAATTTATGTTTTTATAACATCCATGTCTTTCTTGTCACATTGATGTTTTAGTGACAAAAATATGGATTTACATGTCCTACTTCATAGTTAAAATTTCTATAGTATATTTTATTTCTTTCATTTTGTATTATATTATATTATATTAATATTTAAAAAATATTCTTTGACTCAAACAATGATTCATTTGAATCACACTTTTTGTGACAAAAATAAAAATTCATCTAGATATTGAAGTATTTCTATCTATTTGTATTGTCAAGTATATCTATAAGCATATCTATAAGGGCTATGATTGCACAAATTTAGGGATTTTTTATTTGAGGTTTCACAAATTTGAAATAGATTTCATAGAGTTTAATAAATCTTGTATTTGAGTTTCACAAATTTTTCATACATATTTGAGTTTGAACCCATATTTTAATTTTACAAATTTGA